GTCTGATGTTTTAAAGGCCAGAGGGACAAACCAGCTATTAGCAACATTACACACACACACACACACACACACACACACACACACACACACACACACACACACACACACACACACACACACACACACACACACACACACACACACACACACACACACACCTATACAGCATGACCACTGTACTTTTAATATCGCAGACACGGGAAGTTCTTACACTTTCCCTAGACAAACTATAGACCAAACTAATATGAATATGAGCGTGTGTGTGTGTGTGTGTTTGCGCGTGCATGCACGCGTGCGTGCGTGTGTGTGTGTGCGCTCTGTTTCTCTGTCAGAGCTCAGTGTAGTGCATGAGCAGAGGTGTTGTGTGTGTGTGTGTGCGCAGGGTTGTGTAGCTGTGCATCAGTGGTGTGTGGAGCCGCTGGTGTGTGTGTGTGTGTAACGGCGTGTCCTTCATTGCTCTGCTCTTGCAGGTTTGTTCTTGATATTGTACGAGGGCTGCATTGTTTTTGGATGGTGCTCTGTTTTCCTCAGCCGGTGCAGAGATGTTCTTCTTCAGCTGAAGCAGATACTTTGGGAGCTGGAAGCTTTGACCTCTATAGTATTTGTTTTCCTCGTATACTGAAGTCTTCATTTGTAGAAGACAGAAGCTCACCTGTGCATACCTGTCCACCCTCCTGTTTCCCGGGATTCTCCCGTATTTTACAGTTCTATCCCGCCACCATCCTGAAGGCATTTCTCCTGCATTTCTCCCATAGTGTTAGTCTTCTCTGAAGCGTGGCAATAAACTTTAAAGAGCCGATTCTCCCTATACACAACCCATACCGCCAAACCCCCAGGGGCCGCCCCTCGCTCTTAAACATGAGTCTGTCCTAGGCGTTCGCTTTATTTAGGAATGACCACGCTGAAATAAATGTTAAAACAGCAGGATTCCTTTCCTTTACATTACAGGCGCCGTCTCCCCTCCTATGCAATCCTCTAAGCAGTCATGTAGCGGTGCGTATGATAAACAGACGCTGTTTCCCCAACAGATTCTGCACACGCCATTAAGCGGAGTGAAAGTCTGGCTTTGGGTGTGTTTGAACAGACATCTACACATAATTAATAATAATAACATCTAAAGATGTCCATCTAGCTGGGTTTTTAGGTCTAATTTAGTCCTAAATGAGCATAAATCCTGTATTATGGTGGGCAAATTTCCCATGGCAGAGTTGACAGGTATGCACAGGAGCTTCATAAGCACTTGAGGAGGGTAAAGAGTGAGGATATTTCTGGTGAATTACCCCTTTAAATCATCCCTCTGAGATGTGTTACACATTCACTACAAGAAGCAATGGTGAGCTGACAGATGCTGTTCCTCCAAGCAGAAGAGTGGCGGCGTTCCTGATCCTCACTCTCCTCTTCATCCTGATATTCCCCAAGTGCCCAGCGCCTGCCGGACCAATAACTGCATCTCCACCTGTGTTTATAGCCTGTACCAAACCACTGTGGATAGTCAGTCGTGTGTATGAGTCCATGTGTATATAGTCCCTGTACCGCTGTGTTTTCATCAAGACGCTGGGTAGATTTTGCCCATCAGACCCCCATGAAGACGGTAATGAAGACTTAGCTAATCTCTGAACTAGCGGCGCTCGTGCTGCGTATTTATAGCGCTTCAGGCGGTGCGCTGCGTCTCTCCACCGGCAGAATCAGACCGCAGTCGCTGAGGGTCTTCAGGCTGTGATCTCCACATTCCTCTGCGCTCGAGCCTCGTCTTATTTTACCATAGCTCTGTGCATGTGTACTGTGTTGATATACCTCTGGAAGCGCTGGTGTTCTGTCTGTGGGGTTCGTGCTGTGATGTAAAAGCAGAGCAGCGCAGTCTTAATCATGTCCTTTATTCCCTCGTTTGCTTTGTTTCGTGGACTGTAAATATCGACCTACGACCAAAAGACTCCACCTCTCGTGCCTTGAAGCTCTTGGCCTGTGGACGCCACTAACTGGATCTGTTAACAGAATAACGCTGTGTTTTAATCTCCTTCACTGGTTTCCCACTCCTCTATTCCTCTGTGTATAGTAAAGAAGCTCTATTTTGTACTGTTTCTATCTTCCTAATTAAATGAAAACATGTTTGGCTGAAGTGGAGGTGTTGTGTTCACTTTATTCACCCAGCAGCGGACTAATGAATCAGATGTGCTCAGATCACTGTTTTCTGTCATTATAAACTCACTCAGAGCCGTATTCTAGCACAGCCCTGCTGTAATAATACACTAATAACCCTGTGGAGATGATCACAGCGCCCGCATTCTCCACCAAAACACAGCCCATCCTGTTATAACAGGAAAACTGTGTCGTCTTCATAATAAGCACTGAACGCTCCTCTAAAAGTTGACTTTTTAAATAATATTTTTAACATCTTTTTTTGATATTAAATATCAGATGTGTGTTTGGACTGCACACTGTATGGTTCCAGCATGGATATCACACTATGAACATTCACAACAGTCACATGCAGTATCTAAACCATACCTTCATCATCTCCACACGTTTCTGAAATTAAGAGCATTCAGGCATGAGAAATGGTTCAGTTTGTAGCTGCTTGTAGGATTCTTGAGTCTTGGCTTTCATCTTATTGTTTGTTTATTGATGAATTTTCAAGCTCTTGATAATCAGCGTAAACTCTTAGTCTGTTAGCTACTCATCGAGTTCTCCTGCTGTACGCTTCATTTCAGTTTATTTTCACACCATCACCAACACCAAGTTTAGCCGACATCTCATCCTATTAGCGACCGCTGCCTGGATCTGCTGTAAAGATGTACTCAAACAGCTTCTTCATTATTGTAGAAATATTTATAATCACCAAGTCCACTCACATGAACCCTGCTATCTTTATACGTTTGCAGACGTTTGACTGAATCCTGAAGCAGAGCATCTTTCTAAATGTCTTCCTCTGTACTCCGACACATCATTATTGATGTACAGCTCCTCATTCCCCCATTAAAGCCACTAACACTTCTGCAGTTAAAGTCTCTTTTAATAGAGGAATAGAGTGAATCTTGAAGCATTATTTGATTATTTTACATGAACTGGCGGTTTACACAGTGTTACCCGTCACTGAAGCAGGAATGAATGGCTAATAAACAGCAGAAACACAAGCACAATCACTCTCACATCTGCATAATGAAGCAATATAAAGAGCGGAGGAAGCCTTGATCCATCAGGTCAGGGTTAGTGAGTCCTCAGAACAGTCAATATCTGCCCAAACATGAGTCCAGAGAACAGTCAACATGGAGGAACACTGATCTGAGATCAGCAGCAGTCACTTCCACTCAGCTCAGTGCTGGATTCAGTCTTGTGGAAATGCTCTGCTCATCTGCGCTCCTCAAGACTCTTTCTCTCCTGCGTTTGCTGGTAAAGCTCCATTAGGGAAAGGGGAAGACTGTCGGCTTGTAGATGAAGCATGAAGTCCTCTGGGGTTGTGGGAAACTGTTGGGACACAGAAATCACGTCAATCCCAATGAAAATAAAGCTTTACGCTGACGTTGAGTTTAGCTCACAGTTCATGCCGTATACCTGCTTATTACCTGCCTGTTATGAAGATATCGACTGTTCATCAGCACTTATTAAGTCTGATCTTACCGTACATGGCTACACAACTACTGCTGTACTCACTGTTAATGACAGATGATGAGCTGTTTGTTGAGCTGGTAGTGTTGGTTAATGCTGTGGATTGTGACCTGCAGTGTTCAGTTTCTGTACAGGCATTATTGAAGACTAAATTATTGATTAATCCCTTTAAAATACTGATTATTTCTCCAATATTTCCCCTGTGATGTTAAACAGAGCCAAGACATTTTCCTGGGATTCCAATAATAGTTATTTTTCTTCTGGAGAAAGTGCAAATAAAGTGTTTATTTACTGATGTTTATTATGTTTCGCTACAGAAAAAAAAATTACCCAATGACTTGCCTAATTACCCTAACTTTACCCTAACTTTACCCTAATTACCCTAACCTTACCCTAATTACCCTAACTTTACCCTAGTTACCCTAACTTTACCCTAATTACCCTAACTTCACCCTAATTACCCTAACCTTACCCTAATTACCCTAACCTTACCCTAATTACCCTAACTTTACCCTAATTACCCTAACCTTACCCTAATTACCCTAGTGCAGCCTTTACATGTGACTGTAAGCTGAACACTAGTGTCTTGAAGAATATCTAGTCTAATATTATGTGCTCAAAGACAGGGAAATGAGTTGTTGAAACCGTTGGATTTCGCTTTATACTGTTGTTCATAAAGCTTTCTTGAGCTCAATACGAGATTATGCAGATTATTTTAAACTAAACAATTTGCTGAGATTTAGTTTCTAACTGTGAGTAACTAGTTACGGATGTTCATTGCACTTACTATAGTAATTACCATTATGTATGTACCTAACCCTAAAGCAAAGCCACATAACAGCCACAAGCATAGAGTGAGTCCATGTTGAAGATGCTGAGCTCCACACAATCCAGCATCAAACATGAAGTGCTCAGCAAAGCCCTCCATAACTGTGTTGTTTCAGCTCATTTTACATGCACAGTCTGAGCAAGCAGCACGCTTCACTGTTTGCGTGTGTGTGATGAATGTCACTCAGTAGTTGCTGAATGGGTTAGTTAAAACCGGAGCACCCGGAGGAAACTCACGCCAACATGGGGAGAACATGCAAACTCCACACAGAAACACCAACTGACCGAGCTGAGTAAAGCTCCTGCAGATGGAGTCTACTAAACTCACCGCTGCTCAATATCTCTGCTCCAGTCCACTTTACAGGGCATTTCACCATCTGCTGACAACACATTGATGAAGGCCTGATAAACCGATGAGCTAGCATCCGCTAACGGCTAGCACAAATAACCTGATACACATTAATCTCACACTGACACACACATGCACGCACGCACACACACACAAGACTGAGCTAGTGTGTGAATCTGCAATAAAGACTAGTATGGATGCAGCTGCAGCCGGAGGTTAATGACAGTAATTTATAATTATTATTACAACTGTACAATTATCAGACAACAGTAATTACAGTTTCTACATCACCGTGAGGGTCAGGGTTTAGCGTAGGTGCTAATTATTGGGTTATGTAAAAACTTTTATGAATAATACTCTGTACAATTACAGTTTCTACATCACCGTGAGGGGTTGGAGTGGGGGTAAATGTTAATAACATACAAATAATGGGTAATTTAATAAATATTATGAGCAATTCCTGCTGTTATTAAATGTGTATAAATGTGAAAAATAATACAAATGAACATCGAATTTAATAAATAGTTTAAATAATTCTCAGTAACTTCTAACCACAGCTGCAACAACCGTATTTGAGTGTGTATGGCATGCATGTAACACACACACACACACACACACACACACACACACACACACACACACACACACCTCAGTAACAGCCCACAACTGTTTCCAATCATTAGGTTCCTGCATGTCTGGCCGGCCGCCTCTGATTGCACGACACTGGATACGAGATGCCGCTTTACACCCGCGGGCTACAGGAGACTCCTCTCCACCTTTCCCTGCTTCCTCTCACTCACTTTTATTTGCCTTTCAAGCTTTCTCTTTGTTGCCCGTTATCTTTAACAGCAACACATGGCCGCAGAGCCGAAAATAATGTAGAGAAGCGTGCGACTGAAGATCACGGTCACTCCACCGGCCGACACTGTACAATAGAGCTGCATTATAACACCGGCAGCAACTACACATGCAGTACTATATTCACTCATGTTGATCAAGTGGATTATTAGAACACACCAACATTAACTAACACCAACAAGCCACAGTTATACGTCAATAATGCATCAGTAAATGTTGAACGAGGATTAATAAATGCTGTACTCGTGCTCTTCACTATTAGCTCATGCTAATAACTGCATTAACTAATGAAGCTGATTTACAGTGCTATTACTAATGGACTAACATGGGTGTACGTTTGGTCGTGTGTGTGTGTGTGTGTGATGAAGCGCAGAATCACGCACAAAGTTAAATGTCTGAAGAATGTGCGCAGAGACACTGGCATGAGGTCAATCGCTCAGAATGATCTTCAGGATTTATAAATGCTGCCTATGAAAATATGCATAATCATTTGTGTTAAACGGAGTAATGAATGAGCTAAAACTCCCGAATTATGACATTGCGTGTGCTGTATTCTCAGAATATGCTCCAATGTTTATATTTAATATGAAGGGTTAGGGATTAGTTTTAGTCTTGAGTAAATGAAGCTGGGTTTCCAGTGATCTTGTGAATGTTAGTTTGGACAGATCTGTTCAGCTCATTTTAAATGAACACAACATTTAAAGCAGATTATGACTGAAAACTCAAACATTCATTAGAAAATCACATTCACTGCAAACAAACGTCCTTACAGAGCCGTTCATCATGTGTGATGTCTGTATTTCTTCTGTGGTTATGATGCTAAGTAAAAAACAGAAAAAAAAACT